CCTCTCCCCCTCTCCAGACTACCCAAGGCTAACCTCTCGCACCTCTCACTGGAGTATCTGTGCTTCTCCTCTTCACATGCCCAAACCACCTAACCCTTGCTTCTCACATCTTGTCCTTCACCGAGACTACTCCTACCTTGTCCCGAATATCTTCATTTCTAATCTTATCAATCCTGGTATGTCCGCACATCCATCTCAACATCCTCATTTCCACTACCTTCATCTTCTGGACATGAGAGTTCTTGACTGGCCAACACTTTGCTCCGTACAACATGGTAGGTCTGACAACCACTTTATAAAACTTATCCGACCACTCTATAAAACTTACCCTTAAGTTTAGGTGGCACATTCTTATCATATAAAACACCGGATGCGAGTCTCCATTTCATTATTTCATCCATTCTGCTCCAATACGATGAGTAGCATCCTCATCAATCTCCTCATTTCCTTGGATAATAGACCCAAGGTACTTGAAATTAGCTCTCATATGGATAACCCTATGGGTGACAAGGGGCCGATCCGGTCCAGTCCGTTCTATTGGAAAATGAGATCGGCCGGTCTCCAAACCGGGCCGATTACAGGTTTTTTATTACCGGTTTTACCGGTTCCTAGCCCCTCCGGTGAATTCTTGAACCGGAACAGTTTCGGGCCTAAGAGGCTAGGCCGGGCCGGTTTTTATTTAATTTGTTTTGTGTGTATTTTGTATAACTACCGTAGTTTATATTAAGATAAATTAAAAATATAAAACATAAAAATAATCTTATAAAAAGAGTGTTTGAATAAATTTTAAAGGCTTTAAAACCCTTATATTTGAATATTTCATTAAGAATTTAAGATAATAGAATACAATGAAGATGAAAAAAAATTGAACTTATAATTTGCAAGTTCTTTTTTTAATTCAAACTTGCAAATTAAAATTTATATCTAACAACAACTAAATTAACGAAAAAAGAGTAAATTCAAAGTTTAATTATTCAATATAAATCAAGAACTTCAAAGGTTTTGCATTGCCTTAGTAAGTTCTTCATAATCAATATAAACTTCTTGCCCATCTTCTAGATTATTAAATTCAGATGGGTTACCATGTGTTAATATATATCGAAGTTCCTCATCTTCTAGTTTATCAACATCTTCACGTCCCTGATTTTTTCGTTCCGATCTAATCCAATCTCTGAAACATACTAAAACTTCCAAAGTATTGCTTCCCAATGAGTGGCGGGTGTCTCCTAATTGTTGTTTTGTTTGACGAAATGCACTCTCTGATGCAACAGTTGAAATTGACACATTCAACACATCCCGAGCCACAATGGAAAGAACGAAAAATTGCTTTTCATTCTCATGCCACCATCCCAACGGTGAAAATTCCTTTGTGCAAGGCTGTATTTACTTTTGCAAGTAGAATTGAAGTTCATTAATGTTCTTGCTACTGGTTTGAGTGGAAAAAAATGTAAACCAAATATTATAACCATCAAGGCTTTCATCTTCATCCATAATAGCAGATGCAGTAGAAGTAGTACAATGCATAGTAGGATTAACATTGCCTACATTAATAGTAGCATCATCAATTATATTTGCATAATAATTATATAATTATTGTAAATAATCATTTAGCTTGTTCATACAACAATATATATATGGAGTTTCAGTTGGTCCAATCTCCATATAAATATATAAAGCATTGATTAATTGGTGACAATTAGATATCTTAATAGAAGGATTTAAAACAACACCAATTAAGTAAATCAGAGGAACTGGAAAATATTTTTTGAATTTTGCTTGCATTTTTTCAACAACATCCTTATATTTTTCTTTCTTAAATTCAAAGAGTAGAAAAGAAATTTCAGTTATATGTACTAAAGCCATCGTAACATTAGAGTAATATGCTCTAAAAAACTCAATAATAGCTGTATAAAATTTATGTAAAAATTTAACATCATCATTAATGGCCTCCCAAGTATTAGTTGGTAACATACGGTTTAGATCAGTATAATGCGCATTAGCAACTTCAGTTATCGACAATCTATATTTGTAGCAACATGTTAAAAATAAGTATGTATAATTCCATCTAGTAACAATTTCATCTGGCATGAATCTGGGGGTTAAAGTTATGCTCCATACATTTAGTCTTAAATTCCCTAATTCTAGATTGTCTATTATTTCCTTGAATAACACCAACTGCTCATGAGTAATCTCAATTGAAAATAAATCAAGGCCACTTTTAATAATTAAATTATAAATATGACATGCACGCCTAACATGAAAAATTTCGTCAAGTGGTGGTCTCAAATGCAGTCTTAATATTAAAATAGTGGCATTATTGTTAGAAGCATTATCAAAAGACATACACAATACTTTCTTATTAAGATTATAAAATTCAACAACTTCGCAAATAGTAGTACTTATAAAAATAACAGTATGATTTTGATCTTATCATATTTAAAAGCGATAATACATTTTTGCATACAATAATTATTATCTATCCAATAACATGTAATTGTCAAATAATCATTTTCATTAACAGCATGGCCAATATAAGAAGTTAGAGAAACTCTACAAGGAAGGTGGTCAAACAAATAATGTATGTATGTCTGATATTGTCCATGAATTCTAAAGATATCAGATCTACAATTACTTCTAGGGATACCTTTAAATAAAATATTATAAATCCTTTGAATGTACATAATAAGATATGATTAAGAAGCAAAAGAAAAAGGTAGACAACCCAAAGCAATCATTTTTGCTAACTCCTCACGATCCTTCATTTTATCATATTTCATAAGTCCTTCAGTACTAGGGTTTAGAGTTCCTTGATTTTCATCTAAATCAGAGCCCTATTCTATACGATGAGTAATTCTCATATGTCTACTAAGTGTTCCAGTCCCCCCTAAACTTCCTCCAGTCTTATGTTTAAAATCAGCTTTATAAATTTTGCATCTAACTCTATCAGAATTTTCTATTTCCTCAAAATATTTCCAACCTTTACTTCTCCTTCTCCGATTACTAGTCGAGGCTACAAGTGGTCTACTACTAGCGCCACGAACACCACCCCAGCTACCAACTCCAACACTACTAGGTATAAGTGGTGTCTTATCTTCAATTTTTAATCTATTATCTTCTACACCGAAATCTTCTTGTAATTGTTCATAATCTATATTATTATCAGGTGATGTTTCAGACACATGTGTAAAGTCATTTAAATTACAACTAGAAGTTGAATTAGTACCTCTTTTTCTATTTTTCCGATTAGCAACCTTATTACAAACTCTTTTTGCAGCATTAAACATATTGTAAAAATTTAACTACTAATAAAAATTAAATATGCAAATAAAATAGTAAATAAGAGAAAAAGTTAGAGGGAGTGCACCGAATTCCGCAATAAATTGAACACTTGATGATTTTTGAAGTTTTGAAATTGAATTTCGTAACTCCAATGTTACCACGAAGAAACGTCAATTGTTCAAAGTTCAAAGTTCAAACTTCAAACTTCAAATAATACCATAAATAAAAGGGATCTTTACACAAATAGCCGATCATATTAATTATTTACTTTTTTAGCCATATACATAGATTATACATTAATTATACACAATTATGCACACGTAATACATAAATTATGCATATATTATACATTCACTAGCTATTTTTACTTAAAGTGATAGGGTCAGCGACTATTTGGGTTAATTCTTCTAAATAAAATTTCAAATAAAGTGAGAGCCAAATAGTTGATTGTAATTTAGGTGAAGAATGAGAGAATGACAATTGAGAATTTGGGTTTGAGAAATGAGAGATGAGTGAAGAAATAAAGAAGGGGGGGGGGGTATATTTATAGTTTTTTAATGGGCTAAATTAGTAAATACTAAAAGTATTATTTTTGAAAAACAAATGCCCCAAAAGGGCTATTCTTGCAAAATAGCCGTTGGGCAACAGTCAAAATGGCAGCTGACCGTTGCCAACAGTCAACTTAATTAAAAAAAATAAAAAAAATTCTGAAATTGCCGTTGAACCGGCCTGGGCCGGTCCGGTTAACCGGTACTTCGAAACTACCGGCACAATATGTTACCCATCCAAACCCAGCCCTGCCCGCCCCCTTACATACCGGTCCGGTCTTAAATCGGTCTGGGCCGGTCCGGAACCGGGTCCACCCGACCCGTTAGACACCCTTAATCAAGTCTCACTTCCACGTCCACACCCTCAGTTTCGTCACTGAACTTGCACTCCAAGTATTCAGTCTTGGTCCTACTCAACTTGAAACTTTAGACTCCGGGGTTTGTCTCCAAACCTCTAGTCTCACGTTAACTCCACCTCGCGTCTCGCCAATCAAAACAATATCATCCGTAAATAACATACACCAAGGCATCTCCCTATGAATGTGGCGCGTCAGCGTGGCCACCGCCAAGGTAAATAAGAATGGGCAAAATACTAAATGCACAAAAAATGGCTCTTTGACAAAATTGCCCAATAGTACTAATAGCCTATTTGGCCAAGCTTCTAAAATCGGCTTATTTTGAGAAGTAATTTACTCAAAAGTTGGTGATAAGCAGTTTGTGTTTGACTAATTAATTTGAGAAGTACTTTTGAGCATTAATTTGTGTTTGGCCAAACTTTTAAAAACTGTTTCTAAGTGTATTTTTCTCAAAAGTGCTTCTCACAAAAATACTTTTGGAGAGAAACTACTTTTTTGTGCTTCTGCTTCTCCTCAAAAATATTTTTTTTCCATCTAAAAGCTTGACCAAACACCTCAATTTTTTGAAAAAAGTACTTTTGGCAAAAAAATAAAAATACTTTTGACCGAAAAAAGCTTAGGCAAACATGCTATAACCTAATTATTCCAGCAATTGCGTCGAAGACACGAGCTGTGGCAACTCAGCAAATACTATAAACTTGTAATTATTGTACTAAGTAAAAAAACAAACGATATTTCCCTAAATACGTTTTTGCTTATATACATTGGGTCGATAGTTTCTCTTTTTTATTCCTTTTAATAATGCATCGATGATGGTGGAGAATATAAAAATCAGAAAAAAGCGAAGACGACAAAAGAATGACTTTGTCTTAACAAGTTGGTGGAGTCAACACCACTCATTTGCACTTAAAAAGTCTCTGCTCTGCTAAAGCTTCTTAATTTCTTTGATCGATCGACATGGCGAACGTTGCGGTGGAATTTCTGGTGGAGAACTTGATGCAGCTGCTGAGGGACAATGCGGAGCTGATTATTGGGGTTAAGGATGAGGCTGAGAGTCTGCTTCAAGATCTCAACGAATTCAACGCTTTCCTCAAGCAAGCTTCCAAGTCCCGCAGTGAGAACGATGTCCATAAAGAATTGGTGAAGAAAATTAAGACTGTCGTCAACTCTGCTGAAGATGCCATTGATAAGTTTGTGATTGAGGCTAAGCTTCACAAGGACAAAGGTGTTGGCAGGTTTGTGGATGTTAAGCATTATAAAAGAGTGTATGATGTAGCAGGGGAGATTAAAGCTATTAGAGACAAAGTCAAAGAAATCCGTCTCAATAATTCCCATGGCCTTCAGGCCCTTCAAGATGAAGATCAATCTGCCAGATATGTCGAAGAACGAAAGGTATCACACCACATTCTGCTCCTAAATCCTAATAATTGTGTTTGAGATATATGTAGTTGTTAACAACAAGTAGATGCGTTATTAAGGAACACAAATTGATTTGTTGGATTAACTACCATCCAAATGTAACTTTATGGACTATTTAAGACTTTTTTTTTGGTGATTGGGGAAAGGGGAAAATGAATAATCTAGTCAGAATTGAATCATCATCTACAACTACCACTCAATTTTGTTAACAATTCTGTTAATATCTAGACAAAAGAGGTAAATTCAATGGTACAATATAACTCTGTAATATGACATTGCCTTTCTAGGAAAGCGGCAGGACATGTAACACTATTGATTAACGACTAAAACATTATATGTAGATGCCCCTCCTAAAACGCAATGCAATTTATTAACATTGACAACATTATAACGTTGTAATGTCACTGTTCTATCTGATTGAGAATCCTTTGTTGGGCCTATTACTTCACCAACTAACTATTACGTTAAGACAGAAGCACCTATTCTTTTGTACTTGTACAAATACGTAATATAATGTTTTGACTGCCGCCGTTTTTTGAAATTCATATATCTAATCTTTAACTCGGCTATTTTGAAAGCCTCCAGTGGTAGAGGAAGATGATGTGGTGGGATTTGAAGAGGAAGCAGATAAAGTAATCAACCGTCTTCTTGGAGGATCAGATGGTCTAGAAGTTGTTCCAGTTGTTGGAATGCCTGGTCTCGGCAAAACGACACTAGCAAATAAGATTTACAAGCATCCTAAAATCGGGTACGAGTTTTTTACTCGCATTTGGGTTTATGTTTCTCAATCATACAGGAGAAGAGAATTATTTCTCAACATCATCAGCAAATTCACTCGAAATACCAAACAATACCATGGTATGTGTGAGGAGGATTTAGCTGATGAAATACAAGATTTTTTGGGCAAGGGAGGAAAATACTTGATTGTCTTGGATGATGTATGGTCTCCTGACGCTTGGGAACGTATCAGAATAGCTTTCCCAAACAACAACAACAAATCCAATAGAATATTGTTGACCACTCGAGACAGCAAAGTTGCTAAGCAATGCAAGCAGTGCATTGGTATACCTCATGATTTAAAATTTCTGACTGAAGATGAAAGTTGGATTTTACTGGAGAAGAAAGTTTTCCATAAAGATAAATGTCCTCCTGAATTGGAACTATCTGGAAAGAGCATAGCCAAAAAATGTAATGGACTACCCCTTGCGATTGTTGTTATTGCAGGAGCACTAATTGGGAAAGGTAAGACATCAAGAGAGTGGAAACAAGTGGATCAGAGTGTGGGTGAACACCTTATAAATAAAGACCAGCTTGAGAATTGTAACAAATTGGTGCAAATGAGTTATGATCGCTTGCCTTACGACTTGAAAGCATGTTTTTTATATTGTGGTGCATTTCCCGGAGGCTTTGAGATCCCTGCTTGGAAGTTAATCCGTTTGTGGATCGCAGAAGGGTTCATACAGTATAAAGGCCACTTATCCCTTGAGTGTAAAGCAGAGGATAACTTGAATGATCTCATCAACAGGAATCTAGTGATGGTAATGCAAAGAACATCTGATGGTCAAATCAAAACACGTCGTCTTCATGACATGTTGCACGAGTTTTGCAGACAAGAGGCGATGAAGGAAGAAAATCTTTTCCAAGAAATAAAACTAGGTGCTGAGCAATATTTCCCAGGAAAACGGGAACTAGCCACCTACCGTCGCTTATGCATTCATTCCTCAGTTTTGGAATTTATCTCTACAAAACCCTCAGGTGAACATGTCAGGTCATTCTTATCTTTTTCTTTAAAAAAGATTGAGATGCCATCTGTCGACATCCCAACCATACCAAAAGGCTTTCCGTTGCTGAGGGTTTTTGATGTCGAGTCCATCAACTTCAGTCGCTTCTCCAAGGAGTTTTTCCAGTTATATCATTTGAGGTATATTGCTTTCTCATCTGACACAATCAAGATCATTCCTAAACACATTGGAGAACTGTGGAACATCCAAACCCTCATAATTAACACGCAACAACGTTCTCTTGATATCCAAGCAAACATATGGAATATGGCACGACTAAGGCATCTGCACACTAACTCTTCTGCCAAATTGCCTGTTCCTGTGACCCCAAGAAGTAGTAAAGTTCCTTTGGTAAATCAAAGCCTGCAAACTCTCTCCACCATTGCTCCCGAAAGCTGCACAGAAGAAGTGTTTGCAAGGACTCCAAACCTGAAAAAGCTGGGCATCCGTGGGAAAATAGCTGTGCTTCTTGAGCCTAATAAGTCATTGTTAAAAAATGTGAAGAAGCTAGAATACCTTGAAAACTTGAAGCTGATAAATGATAGTAGTCAAACAGGAAAAGGGTTACGCCTTCCACCCTCATATATATTTCCCACGAAGTTGAGGAAGCTATCTTTAGTAGATACCTGGCTGGAGTGGAATGATATGTCTATATTGGGGCAGTTGGAACACCTTGAAGTCCTGAAGCTGATAGAAAATGGGTTTATGGGAGAATGCTGGGAGTCAGTTGGAGGTTTTTGTTCCCTACTGGTGTTGTGGATTGAAAGGACAGACTTAGTTTCTTGGAAAGCATCAGCTGATCACTTTCCAAGACTTAAGCATCTTGTTCTCATCTGCTGCGATAAGCTTAAGGAAATCCCCATTGGCCTGGCTGATATACGCAGCTTCCAAGTGATGGAGTTGCAAAACTCCACCAAAACAGCAGCAATATCTGCACGGGATATACGAGCCAAAAAAGACAAGCAAACTCAAAAAGGGACTAATAACAACAATGGGTTCAAGCTCTCTATATTCCCTCCCGATCTCTGATTGCAACTGGATGTGCAGCTTCCTTGAGAGGTCAGTTAAATCTTTCCTTGACCTTATTTAGATTGGTTTTAATTTCTATTTCATGTTTCTAGTGATTGTCGCAACCCCCTCATCTGCTATCCATTGTCCACATCCATACAATATAAGTTGAATAGGAACAGGGATTTCCATCCGTGCATTGCAATGCTAATCACCAAAAGTGGTCCTTAAAATCCAAAATTAGAAGCCAATAGGGGGCAAAAAAGAATATTAACTAACTATGAATTCTAACAAGTTCAAACCACCCAGTTCCTGCCTCAAATTGCAGTCTGATAACAGTTAATTAAAACTGAGCCAGAAATGTGGATGGTGATGCTCAGCTATTCCCCTTGGCACTTTATATTTGTAATCGTAACTCCTGAAATCAATTTTCTAAGTGTTCTCTAACTTCCATATACTAATATAAAAGAACTGACAAATCACAATCTATATTACATTCAAAGTAGTATTAGTCACCATCAAATCTTGAGATTCTGTATAAAAGCAGTCTGTGAAAAAGAAAAACTATAATGCAGTTTTACATAACACAGTAACAAGCTTATGCATAGCCGTTCCCCTGGCAAGCTTTATAAATTAGCAATATGACATAGATGTTTACGAATTACCTACTGGATTTTTCCTCTTTTGCAATTTGTTTTTCCCTTTTGGTTTTTCTTTTCCCGTTTGTTGCTTAACCTGAGGGCTGCAATGAAGATTCACTAACATTTGTTGGCATGGTTTCATATTTTTCTTTGGTAACCTACTACTACAAAGTATTTAATTAAGAAAAGGAAAATTGATTCTTTGCAATTGGTGCAGGTCTTCAATGAATCAAACTGTATGATGCTGGTATTGTACCATGGATAAGAAACTTCTACTAGGTGTTATAATAATTCTTGAATAGTTGTCTGTCCCCAACTTGTTTGGGATTGAAGTGTCGTTGTTGTTGTTCAGTCGTCGTCTGTCTTTCATGCATTTCATGTGTTGTCTTCTTGATTGTGGTCATAGCTTTGAGCTGAAATATTGTATGTTTTGTATTTGTGATATGTTAATCCATAAGGACAGTGTACTTTGCACTTACAATAACAATTGGTTGATTTGCGTATTCTTTGGATTCCGAGCTCGTACAGAATGGTTTTTTTTTTTTTGGCCAGGATTAAGTCATTCAATTATATAAATGGAGGAAATATCTTGGATATTGCTTCGTTTGGAAGCTGGAGAAAGTAAGATGAAAGACAAAAAATGACTCTTTCTCCTCCATGGTTTAAGAGTGCAGAAAGGAAAAGAAAGAAGAAAAAAGAAATAAAAATGTAGCAGTCCTTCTCTTCATTAATTGAGGATGTTAATTTAAAGTATGAATTTCGTAATTTTTGTGTTATTTATAAAGTTTGTTACTGTTTTATACCATATCCTAGTACCAATAGACATTCTTATGTCTGTTTTTCTAGAAATAAAGTACCGTTAGTTTACACTTATATATGTCGGTTTACAAAAATAATCTTATAATATTAAATATAATAACTCACAATAAAAGGACATAACCGGAATTCTAGATATTAGTCTTATAATCCTATTAGTTTCAGGACATATATCACACGTTAGTAATCCTACATGATTATTTTTAGGAGTCCTATTAGTATACTTGCTTTCGGGCATAGACATATAATACTACGTGTTAGCATGTAAACCTAATACCTTTAGGAACACGTTAGGTTTTCTTTTAGTATTTTGGTTAACTAAATTGGAATACTATTGGGTATTAGCAAAAGATTGTAACATAATATTTCCTATTAAAAATGTTGTGTCGTTTTACAAATTAGGTTTCGGCTCATCCAAAAAGGCCGTGATGCTTTGATCAGTACCTTTTAATTTATTAGAAGGTGAAAAGGAAATCAACGATAATTAATCTTTGTCTTTATGAAAATGAAAGTTAATAAATTAATCTATCTATATCTATATCTATCTATCTATCTATCTATTTATATATTTATCTATCTACCTATATCTATATTTATTATAAAAACATGAATACAATGTCGGTTTACAAAAATAATCTTATAATATTAAGCATAATAACTCACAATAAAAGGAGATAACCGTAATTCTAGATATTAGCCTTATAATCCTATTAGTTTTAGAACATATAACACACGTTAGGAATCCTACATGATTACCTTTGTGATGACCCAAAAGGTCATCTTTAAATTTGATAATTAATTCTGTGTTCTAAGACCTCGAAAAACACTATTTATCATTCCTCGACTTGCGTGCACAGTCCGTATAATTTTTCGAAAAGTTTGTGTGAAAAATGGATTAAAATGTGAAATAGAGCCTTAAAACTCAACTGAGTTGACTTTGGTCAACATTTTAAATAAACAAACTCGGATCAGTGTTTTGACAGTTCCGGTAGGTCCGTATCGTAATTTGGGACTTGGGCGTATGCTCAGAATTTAATTTGGAGGTCTCTAGCTCAAGTTATGGCCATCTAACGAAAACTAGTAATTTAAGGCTAAAGATTTCCAAAAGTTTGACTACAAAATTGACTTTTTGATACCGGGGTCGGAATTCGATTCTAGAAATTGGAATAACTCTGTTATGTCATTTATGACTTGTGTGCCAAATTTGAAGTCATTCCGGATTCATTTAATATGTTTTGGCATGAGATTTGCAAATTGAAAAGTTTAAAACTCAAAAGTTCGAATCGAGGTGTGAATTGTAATTTCAGCGTTGTTTGACATGATTTGAGACCCCGAGTAAGTCCGTATTATGTTACGGGACTTGTTGGTATATTCGGACGGGGTCCCGAGTACCCTGAGTGTGATTTGGATCGAAATCGGATCGAATTGTGAACTTAAGCAAATTTTGGAAATTTCTGTCTCTGATGTAATCGCACCTGCGAGTGTCTTGGTCGCAGGTGCGGCGGAATTGCGCAGATGCGGGACTAGGCTAGCCTGGAGTCTTCGCAGGTGCGGTAGTTTTGTGCAGAAGCGGATATCGCAGGTGCGACAGGAATGTCTGCAAATGCGAAACTTCACCTGGCAGTCTGGCATCGCAAATACGAGCCTTGTCTCGCAAATGCGGAACTTTTATCCGCAGATGCGAAAATGACTGGGCAGAACTCATAAATTCGAAAGTCGCAATTTTTACTCATTTTTGAATTTTAAGTCTCGGATTTGAGCGATTTCAAAGGGGATTTTCACGACTTTGAAGTGTGTAAGTGTTCTATAACCAAAAGTGATTATATTTCATAAATCCATGTCTATATTCATCACTTATTTCGGATTTAGATGCAAGAAATTGAAATTTTTGTAAAACTTTCTAAAAATAAAAAATTAAGATTTGAAGGTCCATTTGACATCGGATTTTGGTAATTTTTGTATGGTTGGACTCCTCTCGGAACGAGTGTTCGGATTTCGTAAGTTTTTCCGAGATTCGAGACGTGGGCCCTACTGATAATTTTTGAGATGAATTTGGATTTTAATCCGGAAAATTAATAAATTCATATGGAATTAATTCCTATAATTTATATTGAGTATATTGAATTGCTTATGACTAGATTTGAGGATTTTAGACACGAATTTGCGAGACAAAGGTTTATTGGATTCTTGAATATTGGTTGCAAAGCGAGGTAAGTATCGTGGTTAACTTTAACTTGAGGGAATAGAACCCCTAAATTATTTGCTATGTAAATTTCATGTGCAACGATGTATAGGCAAGGTGACGAGTTCCTATACTTTGTCAATTTAATTGGTTGCTTAATTATTTAAATATCTTAAATTATTTTAAGACATGAATTAATTGTTATAATAATTGTTTCTCTCATATTCTTTGTCAAATATTAATTCTTGAATTCCTGCAATAATTGTTACATGCTTATTTGATTTATGTGTCTTAAATTTTACTTGACATTTAGCATATTAAATATTAAACTGCCTATTTTCTCCCTGATTTCTACAATAAATTGCTACTTGTCATTGTTTGTTTCATAAATAAATCATAATTATTGTATGCTTGTTGTCATATAATTTTATATTAATTATTATATTTATTGGGGCAATTTCTTTTATAAGAATTGATAAATGAATATATTGGAGTAGCGGGTTGCACGCCGCAATGGAAATAAGAGTTACTATATTGGGGGATCGGATTGCACGCCGCAACAGACTTATTTAAAAGTCTATATTGGGGGATCGGGTTGCACGCCACAACAGACTTGTTTAAAGTTTATATTTGGGGAACGAGTTGCATGCCGCAATGAAAACGAGTTGAGGAATTGTGAGTGTTGAGTTGATTTCAATTATTAATATTATTTATTGGTCTTACTAATATTCCCGTTATTATTATTGTTGCTATTACTATTATTGCGTATAAGTTAATGTAAGTGACCCGCCTTAGCCTCGTCACTACTTCGTCGAGGTTAGGCTCGGCACTTACCAGTACATGGAGTCGGTTGTACTGATACTACACTCTACACTTCTTGTGCAGATTTCGGAGTTGGTCCCATCGGCGTACCATAGACTTGCTCGGATTTTAGCTACCTAGAGGAGACTTGAGGTATAACTGCACAGCGTCCGCAGTTTTAAAGTCCCCGTCTACTTTATTTTAGCTATGTGTTTGCTTTCAGACAACTTTATTTTATTCAGACCTTTATTTGTATCATTCTAGAAGTTCGTGCACTTGTGACACCAATTCTTGGATGGTATTTAGACATCGCTATTTTTATAGATTATTCACTACATTTCAGACTTTACTTCCGCATTTGTTTCTTTGTTATTAATTAATTTAAAATTATTTTAAAATGGATAAAAATATTCTAACGCTGGCTTGCCTAGCAAGTGAAATGTTAGGCGCCATCACGGTCCCGAAGGTCGAAATTTCGGATCGTGATAGTTGGTATCAGAGCACTAGGTTACATAAGTCTCATGAGTCACGAGCAAGTTTAGTAGAGTTTGAAGGATTGGTACAGAGACGTCTGTACTTATCTCTCAGAGGCTATGAAGTTTAGGAACAATATCACTTCTTTCTTATTCTGTCGTGCGATTTTATTCTATCATCGATGATTGAACCATTCTACTCTTATTTTCTCGCAGATGGTGAGAACACGTAATACATCTATCGATGGACAGGGACTAGAGCCCCCGGTGGCAACTGTTGCCAGGGGTAGAGGTCGAGGACGAGGTCGTGCTAGAGGCCGAGGCAGAGGCAGAGGCAGAAGTAGAGGTAGAGCTCAGTCTAGAGCTCGAGCAGCAACACCTATTGTAGAACCTCAGGTGGATCTTCAGGAGGAGGTTCCAGTTCAGACTGTACCGGTTGGACCAGTTCAGGTTCCGGAAGGGTTCATAGCTACTCTAGTACTTCAGGACGCTCTAGTCCGTTTGGTGAGTCTTATGGAGGGTGTGGCCCAGAATGGTACATTTCCAGTGGCACCAACCATCTCACAGGACAGGGGAGGAGCACAAACTCCCACTACTCCCGCTCCGGAACAGATGGCTCCCCAAAATCAGGCTCCAGCAGTCCCGCAAGTTGGGGTAGTTCAGCCAGTTGTTGCGACATAGACCGGTGATAGGCCCGCCATGTCTTTTGAGGCCTTATTGAGACTGGATAAGTTTACTAAGCTCTTCCTAGTTCACTTCAGTGGTGCACCTTCTGAAGACCCACATGATTATCTTGACCGCTGCCATGAAGTGCTGCGGAACATGGGTATAGTTGAGACCAATGGGGTCGATTTTGTTGTATTTCAGATGACGGGTTCCGCCAAGAGGTGGTGGAGAGATTATACATTGAGCAGACTAGTTGGATCGCCTGCACTTACCTGGGAGCAGTTCTCTCAGCTATTTCTGGAGAAGTTCCTTCCTATCACACTGAGAGAGGATTACCGCAAGCAATTTGAGCGTCTACAGCAGGGCAGTATGACTGTTACTCAGTATGAGTCCCGTTTTGTGGATTTAGCCCGTCATGCTCTCCTTTTACTATCTACTGAGAGAGAGAGAAAGAGTGGGGAGGTTTATTGAGGGACTCACTCAACCTATCAGGCTTCAGATGGCCAAGGAAACCAGAAGTGACATTTCTTTTCAGGCGGTTACTAATGTTGCGAGGAGGATCGAG